CAAGAATGAAAAAGTGGTAATGAAGCGAACGTGTTACAAAAACGATCCACTTGAATCGTTCTGTTCAGAACCTTTGGCACCACAAATTGTTTGGAATTCATGGAAAAGAACACCACTGTGCAGTTTTTTTTAATTTTTTAGGCGGCTTTGCTCAACCGGTGTTGCTCATCATCGCAGGGGCTCGCNNGCGAGATGTAGTTTTGACCCCACTCGACTCCATCCCACCCCACCCCAGCCCCCTCGCCTTGTCACCGTAGACTAACTTGCTCCGTTTTTTATGGCATCCCTTGAATTCACCTTCGATTGACCAGTTTTATCCACCCCAAAACTTGTTTTGAATAATTTTTCAACAAGAAAGAGAAGTAAGAGAAGTAAAGAATCCAGTGTCTGAGTCGACTATGCGAGCAAATCAACGAATCGATTTAAACACCCCTGTTGAATGGCGCCGAGAAACACCAGCATTGTTCTCGTTAGTGTTCAGTTGTTCGTCTTTACGGGTGAATAACCGCAAAGGCCGCGCTAATAAGAAAGTCTTCGTTTGGTCCTCTACGTCTTTGATACTCGGCAGCACAGGAGAGCAGCCAAATATGAGTTAGCAACGGTACCAACCAGAGTGGAGTGCTAGCAGTGACAGATTTCCAAACTGCAAGCATTGGCGGGCTAAGCAAATCTTTGTTTTGTTTTTTGCCCATGGATCAAAACCCCGAACAGCAACCACTCATGTATACATTACGAGATAGCCTTGAATTAAGCCGTGTTGTGAGCTGACGAGACATTATCGACCCAAATCATCCGGTTCGCACTTACCTATCCAAATGAACCGGACCGTCAGATCGCAGATTCAGAGTACTCGCTCCGTCCAACTGAGTTCCCGCGCGGTAGAGAAACGATTGTCTACGGGACGGATTCGGTCGCATTACAATGCCGGAAGTCGGGGCTGCGTCGCACGGATTTTGTACGCTCTTTTGTCGTGAAAATCTGTTGTTGTTGTTGTTTTGAGGGATGGGAGAGAGAGATAAATGAAACATACAGCTTGTAATGAGTATTCAAATGACCAAAAGTAATATCATGTTTTTTCTCATTAGAGAGGGACAACATGAGGTATTTCAAAATGGTTATTTTCCTCAACTCAGAAATAAGACACCACAGTTTCAAACCGGGTCATAGTGTATCCAACAAAACACATCTGCACTCCAGCTATCAGTCTAACATTGTTTGGCAAATCAAATGTACCCGTTGAATGAGCATGTGGAACCTCATGCAGTGGCAGAGTACAAAGTCGGCTGCACCCACACAGAACAATGAACGCATTCTAACCGGATTCGGACGCTGGGTGACTGAGTGAACTAATTAGAAGCCCTCTTCCAAAGTGACCAGTCATTCCCGCACAAATGCATTGCCCGCTATCGCAAGCAAAACCGTCTTGAATCTACATTTGTTAAAGACCAATAAAAACAAACAAACAAACAACCGTTTGATCTATTACTGAACATTATAACTTAGACTGCTTATCCTTCAGACTTAATCTTCGCGCATAGTACTCTGTTTACCCAATCCAACCTGACGTGAGGAAGCATTAAGCTTTACTTTTGCTCTTGCCAGTCTCGTCAGCGGTGTTTACCAAACAACCAGTGTGAAAATTAATCTGCACACGGATGTGCCAATCAGCTCACACCGAGACTGACTGGCAGTGTCAAGGAAAGTCCGTTCGGTTTTCTTGATTGCCACTGGGTCCAACAGCAACAAAAGGAGACACCGGTGGTTATCTGTTAGTTTCATTCAAAATCCTCCCAACCTATTGGGACTTCAGTGAGTACTCGAACTACTTCATCTCAATCAAACTGACTGAACTAAAAGTTCATTTCCAATAAACTCACATCCAGTTATGCGCAGTGGTGTGAGATGAGTGATACTGATTTGAACTGGGCATCGTTCAGGCTTTGCCTTCACACAGACAAATTGCAGTGGATTCGGTTAAACATACATTCCGGAAGCACTGCGTACCTGAGTATTGTTCCGTTAAGGTGGCAGAAGTAGCGTATATCTACTCAACAGATTCTGTTATCAAATCGCACTTAGAATGTGGCCGACAGAGTTTTTGATTCCACTATGCAGACAGTAATCACCAGTTTCAAATCTTAGCGTCACCTGTTACAAATGAAACCCGGATTCCGTACGTGTACTAGCGAGTGTTCACTAATGCCCGTTAGAACAATCGCTACCATCCTGTGTGTATTGAACTGATGAACTGCCAAACGACATGGGTAGTTAAAAATCGGAGGAGCGTTTTAATAAACCATAATGACGATTATGTTATGAAAAACAGATAGCGATGGGGAAAAAATTTCGACTTCTGGAATGTTTACTGTCAAATCAAAACAAGCAGATTTACCAACAACAACAACAGCTGATCCGCTGTTTTGGTCACTTTCTCGTTGTTGCGATTGTTCATGCATAAACATAGATATCAGTTCTGAAATTTGCGCACGATGCGCACATTCAACGACGTTTGCTCTTGTCCTCCAGTGGTTCTAAACTTTGAGCCATTATCGGTGTCCGCGTTTCGCGCCTACCACTGGAGATCCAGAGAAGTCTTCCTTGGAGTATAATAGTTAGTAGAGATCTATCGTGCATTTTTCTGAAGTTCACCTCGGTTAATGAATCATCAAGATGTTGAAGTATTTTCCACGAAGGAGGTTACAGGCGATTCAGGAATGCTTTCAGACGAAACCCATTCAGCGGCATCAAAAATGGATACATGCACAACGATTCATTCCAAAGATTTCACTCAAGACCAACGACAATTAAAATACAATGTGAATCTGTTAAGTTGTCTAACTAGATCCCACACGATGATCCTTCGGGCTAAATTCTACATGAGTCGGGAATTGCGATGGAACAATCAGAATACGATATTACTTTCCTGTACAGACCACGAAATCACACTGTTCTGCAACGTCTCACAACGTCTCTGCCACCTGCTTCATTCGTGACCAGTCACCAAGAATGGTTTAGATTTGTGTGTCGTCTAATAACGCTTGCGTGTTCCGCATTCTTTAAGAACTAACTCACTGTGCATATCGCTGACGAGTACTAGGTCGTTTCACAGACGGCAAACTTTGATTTTCTTTAAGAAACAAAAGCATCACGCGCAGGACTAAAACTCAAGATTCAAAAGGTTGCGTAATCACACCGGTAAACGAAATTACTTCAAAATTAATGTGTCCAACCAGGTTGCCTTAATCCGTTTATCTTAATGGTCCATATAAACTTACCATGACACAGGATTGACCCGTTAGATATTACTCTCCTTCAAAATGAATGCATTTTATCCCACTGAGGACTTACTGCTATCAGTCGTTGGCAGAATGATATTAAAACCTTTTTCAGAATGAGTGAATGAATCGATCAAACTCATCTGCACGATCACCGGACTACGAAGTTATCCGCTCAACTATAGCCTGGCGTCAACGCCAAAGCGATTGTGATTCGGTCCCCCGTTTAGAGTTCGAAATCACTCGGATAGCTCTGGATTTGCCATGAACAGTCATAAACGCCAGAGTGTCATAACGGTGGGTACAAAACGAGCGTCATACTGTTTATTCGTCAGATTTATTCAACAATACATACGACACCAGCGGATTAGTCAGAACTCTCAGTCCTGGAAAATTACCCATACACACGCATTTAACGTGATCTACCTGCTTCCTTTCCCTGACTCATGTTTCATGTGGTGTCCCTTAAAAGAATGCCGTATGTTTTTCTCCCAATGGATGACGTACTGAAAACAAGGTTGTTTCTTAAATTGACGTCTTGAATTTCTATTGTTCTGCGGTCCAAAGTGATCAAAATTCGCCATGTAATTGATTCTTTTGTTCTGATCAGACAGATTGCCAACTTTATCCCACAGAGTAGCAAGCTTGGATTAGCCCATTTGATTATTAAGAGGCATCAGGCACTTCTGATGGTCCTGGGTGTGGGTTTCACTCCATGGGGGATCGTTAATTCCCAACAATTTCATGCATCTACATGCGAGGGAAATGTTTGTTTGTGTCCCAAAGACTTGAATCCAAACTGAAGACCATTATGTGTGCTTGGTGCCTCTTAACGGATCGAATGGACTAATCCAAGCTGCTCAAGCTGCTCTAAATTGATTGAGCCTCTCGCACAAGGTGATAACCCCCTACCGTATAGCTCACGGGTAAGGGTTTGAAGTCCAAACCCAAATGTTGGCGGTTCGAGTCCTGACAGGGGTACAAAACAAGTACGCACTGCTGTCGAGTCCCAAACAGAACGAAACAGCTGTCCAGAGCTCTTTGTCGGTTATCACAAACTTCATCCCACAGACTTCGTTCTGGTCATGCGGAGAGATTAACAATCCAACCATCTACCGCGTTGCTTCACTCAAACATGTTGCTATTAGCCTGTGCTGTGAGATCATAGCTCCTCAAAGAATTTGCTGTATGCTTGACCTAAACAGTGAGAAAATTGTCCGTCTGTCTGTCTATCTGTCTCTCTGTCCGCTTCGGGGTTCACAGCAAACATCGTGCAAGTCCACTTTCCCCGAATGTCACACATACCTGTGAGCCATATCTTCACAATACACATACACCTTGTCTGAAAATTTGCTCAACGGACCGTGGAAATACTGTTTTAAAAGCATAAAGGATTGGTTGACATCAATGAGTAAGGTGAGCGCGCATAAGAATTGGTCTATACGCTTGCGGAAACGGTCCATACTGTATCGGGTTTGGATAGGGAGTGAAAAAGGTGGGGCTGGTTACCCAGTCGTCCAGTGGAAATCATGTTCGCGTTCTGCTTTTGTAGTTTTCAGTTGTTTCCATGGATTTGCACGGTTACCAAGATGCAACAAAGGAGAAATGTATTGAGTAGGTCGCTAAGGCACTACTCCTTAACCTGTGGAGAACGAAGTGTCTTCTATTACTTTTAACTGTGTGTTCGAGGTTTTGCCATATGCGAATATAAATCCTTGATAGGTAGGGATAGATGAGTTGAAACTGACAGGATTTGAGTTAACCTTGATGAGCCTAACAGCCTCCGATGGTGGAAGGACAATAATATTTCTGGTTTGCTCAACCGAAACCTGTTGACCAGATAATACCACGTAAAGAATTCTAATAATGCGGTTCAGTGTAAATAAAAACTGGTAATCCAGCACCCTGTTTCCCCCTCCTCAATCATTGCCTTACTGTAACGGCTAGGAAATGCAGTAATTATACCAAACAAATATTTTTTGTCAAACATCCCCTAACCAAAAGAGAGCGGGACTGTATAAGTCTTTGAAACAACCCTGACTGAGGTCTGTCTGCATATCCCGGTGAGAAAACACAAAACTTTAGCGGAAATCTTAACGGCATTCAAGGTTGATTGACCCGAGTTGAGAGATTTGAGATTTTCCGAATGGTACCTAATTTCACCCCAGAATTCGGATCCTCTTCGCTGTTAGTTAAATGCATGGTTTCGAACCTGTATGATGTGCACTAATCTTGGTGTTGTGCAGTTGAATCTATAAAGCAACTCGATAATCCGTTGGAGAATGAACTTTAAATTGTTGGAGAACGACGTGTAATTCAACAGAAATTGATAGTTTGACAGTATATTATTTCAAAGGTGAATTAGTCGTGTATATAGCAAATGAAGCGTGAACTGCTTTTGCCTGGTTGGGTCTCATCAGCGAATCCATCGACTCAACTGGGGACTGAACCCGACGGCCGAAAGGGTAGCATGCTTGCGTTCTACCCATGAGGTCCCGGGTTCGACCCCCAGTTGGGTCGATGGATTCGCACTGCTGATGAAACCCAAAGCTGTCCAGCGCTTCCTAGCTTTTTATTTCGCGCTATATACACGACGAATTTCCCGTTTAAAATTTAATCAAATCCTCCATTATTTACTTGTT